CTGGTTCTTTTCACTCGACAACTTTCTCAAGCAAAAAGCTCTTAAGCAATCTTAAAGTTCTCATCAAGCTTTTTGCGAACCAGTGTCAAGGCGTGAAGATATTTGAATAAGCTCATTATTTCTTATCTTCCACCTTGAAGAAGTCTTGGATCTTAGAAGAATTGATCATCCCCCATTCAATCAAGACTTCACCACGTTGGAGAAATCAGAATCCATTTTCTACCAATCTCAACTCTGAAAAAGACGTTGATAGAGGCGGAGTAAACTCGCGGAGTTGAAAAACCTGCAGGAAACTGTCCGGCTTAGTGATCAAGGAAGCTTCTTGTGTATTTGTACTAACGAGTGATAGTGCAAACCTTCCATAAGTTGTGGAAGAAGAGTGGAAGTAGGCAAAGTTGGCCGAACCACTATAAAACTCTCGTCTCTCTATCTCTTTACTTTTCGCGATTTATTTTCTACATCATAACATCATACGCGCCCAAACCGAAAGCTTCATAAAACGTCAAACCGTGCAAAGTATTTAAAACTAACTCAATATTTCCGCTGCGCTGTAACGCCGAAAGGTTGTTACTTGCAAAAATCTGAAAAGAGTCTATTCCCCCCTGCCCCCCCCCCCCCCCTTCTAGACTCTCGTTATAACCTACCGGGACCAACAAGTGGTATCAGAGCCAATACCTTGATCGGTAAAGGCTTTGCATTTACTGCCTGGTAGATCCCCTATCAAAAGCTTTTGAAAATCTGCATATTTTCAACTTTGCACATTTTTTTTAAAAATGGAAAAGGATCATGCTAACCGCTCCAAGCAGCTTGCTTTTAGCCTCTCAAAATTTGATGACTGGAAAGTGAGAATGCAGGCTCTTCTTTCTTCAATCCATGACGAAATATGGGATGTAATAACCACAGGACCAATCACAGTCATGATGGCAAACACACAGGCTGCAGCTCAAGGAGCAGGTGCTGCGCAGATGATACCAAAACCAAAGGATCAACTCAACTCAGAAGAAAGAACAAGGGCGAAGCTAGACAATGTAGCACAAAACATTCTCTACAACTATCTCGACGATTCCTTGTTCCCCAGAGTCCAAAAATGCAAGAATGCCATGGAGATCTGGAACGTTCTAATGAACCTTGGCGAAGGAGATGAACATGAGAAAGACAACAAACTGACGGTAGCCATGAAGAAGTTCGAGGACTTCAAGATGCTGCCAAATGAAGCCGTCACGGACATGGAACTGAGGTTCACCAGACTCATGGGTGATTTGTCAGATCTCGGGAAGGAATTAACTGAGAAAGAAAAGAACTTGAAGATCCTTCGTGGTCTGCCGAAGTCTTGGGAAATGAAAGTCATTGCAATGAGAGACAACCGAGACATGAAGACTACAAGCACAGTCAAGATCTTCAGTGATCTTAAGGCATACGAGTTTGAGCATGAACCGAAAGATGCTGAAGAACCCGAAGCAAGAAACATAGCTCTCGTGGCCAACCAGCAGGGGTCAACATCCAACAGGTCAAAATCTAACTCTGGTGAATTTTTATTTGACGAACAATATGCCTTATTTGTCAGGAAAATGAAGAGGTTTATGAGGAAGAACAACTTCCAAGATTCTCACCGTTCGGGACACCGAAAGCAACATGAGAGTTCACCTCAAACCTCAAAGCCAGAAACTTCAGACTCTCAAATGATGTGCTACAACTGTCGGAAGCCAGGACACTTCAAAGCAAACTGTCCTCATCCAATTGTGAGCAAGCACCAAGACAACAGTGCTACCAAAAATTCGCCCAAAGAAGCTGGAGAAAACTATAAAAGGAATGATAAATCAGAATCGTCGAACTCCAGAAACAAAAGAAGAAGGAAAGCCATGGTAGCTAACGAGCCATCTGACACGGTTGAAGCCGAAAGCAGTTCCTCAAACTCAAGCTCAGAGGACGAAAGTTCCGAAGAAGAAAAAGGACTGCTATGCCTGTTTAGTCAAGAGACAGAAGATCTATGCCTTATGGCTGATGAGGATGAGGTAAATTCTCAATCATCCTCTTGTTATTCAGCAGAGTCCAGTTCTGTAGGGAGTCAAACTTCCAATGAATCAGTTACCGAAATGATGAGGAAGTTCAAAGTAATCAAAAGCACATACTCTAAACTTAAGGAGGAGAACTCTCGGCTTATGATTAGCTATAATGCGCTAAGGCAAGTTCGAGTCGAGAACATAATGCTAGCCATTGCTAAGAAGCAACTTGAGGAAAATGTTCTCGCTCTGAAAGAGCAGTGCACAACAAGAGAAAAGAGAGAGCAAGAACTGCGTGAAGTCTTGAATAAATTCAACAATTCGTCCAATCTAATGGACCGAATGGTGAATGAATCTAGACTGCCCGGAGAAAGAACGGGAATTGGTTTTGACCCCAGCTCCTCTTCACAAGTCGGCTTGAACAAATCCACTAATGCTTATTCTCACGAGAGTTTTCAAGCTGCATTTGTTCAAGGTCCAACCCAGGTGTCTGAGCCTATGACGAAAGTTAACGATTTCGCCACACCACAATCAACAAGCCAATCGAAAGGTAAGGCTGCACAACGAATTGTGGATCCTAGAAATGAAAGATCTTTCAAAGGCAATCCTAGACAAAAATATGTCAAAAGGAATGGACCAAATGGCAATAGACAAAATCTAAACCATAAGAAGGGTCAGCCTAACAAGAATATTCAATCAAGGAATATGCCGAATGTTAACCAGAGGCAATATCGTCCTAAACCAACACGAAAGAATCCTGACCAAGGAACCCCGAGAAATGGACGAGTCAGACAAAACGAAAGATCTTTCAAAAGATCTGGCTATGGCAATGGATGGACTGGGCCATGAGAGGAAGATTGGTTTGATTACCCAAAACCTCTATCAAGAGCCGAATTTGTAAATGTTCATCTGCGTAAACAAACCAATTACTCCAAGTATTATGAAAATCCTCCTGAAGAATATTTTCACGAGAGATATAATGCTAAAACATTTGCCAAGATCCATTATGATTACCGTACATCTAATGGATACAAAGGACCGAGGATGAGTCGAGGAAACTCTAGGTTCATGTGGATTCCAAAGCTGACATCTAACCCTCAAGGACCCGAAACTCAAGGGGTACCTAAAAATATATAATCTGTTCCCCGATGCTGTTCGTAAGGGGGAGGAGGATGATATATTGATGTATACGGTAACGTCGTCTGTTCCTTCCCCTGTTCCTACCCCTCCTGTCTTGCAAGTGTATTCTCGTCGACCTCGACCTGACACACTCGTACCGGCACCGCCTCCCATTCCAGACTCGGTACAGACTCTGTGCCCTGACACCACCTCTATGTCATCAGATCCAGTCTTAATTGATGACCGTCCGATTGCCACCCGGAAAGGTAAACGTACCTGTACTTATCCTATATCCTCTGTTGCATCATATGATAGGCTGTCACATGCCTCGTGTTCTTTTATTGCTTCCCTTGAGTCTATTTCCATTCCTAAGACTGTTAGGGATGCCTTGTCCCATCCTGGGTGGCGAAATGCCATGATTGAGGAGATGAACGCATTGGATCACAATGGTACTTAGGAGTTGGTCACTATGCCTGCGAGTAAAAGATCTATTGGTTGTAAATGGGTGTTTACTGTCAAAGTTAATTCTGATGGGTCTGTGGCTCGATTGAAGGCTCGTCTTGTGGCTAAGGGATATGCCCAAACTTATGGAGTTGATTATTCTGACACTTTTTCTCCCGTGGCTAAGCTTACTTCTGTCAGGTTACTCATCTCAATGGCTGCCATTCATGATTGGCCTTTGCATCAGCTTGATATCAAGAACGCCTTTTTGCATGGGGGTCTTCATGAAGAGGTGTACATGGAGCAACCTCCTGGGTTTGTTGCTCAGGGGGAGTTTGGGAAAGTATGTCGTCTTCGGCGATTGTTGTACGGGATGAAACAAAGTCCACGTGCATGGTTTGGAAAATTTAGTCAAGTTGTTGAGAAGTTTGGGATGGTGAAAGGCAAATCGGATCATTCCATGTTCTACAAGTGGTCCAAAACAGGTATCATCTGGTTGGTGCTTTACGTAGATGACATTGTCATTACAGGGAGCGACACCGAAGGGATTTTGTCTCTCAAGTCATTTCTTCACAGTCAATTCCAAACGAAAGATTTGGGACCACTAAAGTATTTCCTGGGTATTGAAGTTATGAGGAACAAAACAGGTATATTACTCTCCCAACGAAAATATGTTATTGACTTGCTCTCTGAAACAGGAAAACTAGGTACTAATACTCTCTGAAACAGGAAAACTAGGTACTAAACCATGCAATACTCCCATGACACCGAACTTGCAATTGTCAAAGGAAGGGGAATTGTTTGAAAATCCTGAGAGGTATAGGAGATTGGTTGGGAAGCTAAACTACTTGACCGTAACCCATCCAGATATTGCATACCCAGTTAGCGTTTTGAGTCAGTACATGTCATATCCAACTATTGATCACTGGGCAGCTGTAGAGCACATCTTGAGTTACTTAAAGGGAGCTCCGGGACACGGAATTTTGTATAAGAATCACGGTCACACTCGGATTGAGTGTTTTACTGATGCGGATTGGGCAGGTTCCAAATAGGATCGTAGATCAACAACTGGATATTGTGTTTTCTTTGGAGGTAATCTGGTTTCCTGGAAGAGTAAGAAGCAGAATGTAGTCTCTCGTTCGAGTGCAGAGTCTGAATATAGAGCGATGGCACAATCAACGAGTGAAGTAATGTGGATACACAACCTTTTGTATGAGTCTGGTTTCAAAGCTCCAATTCCTGCAAAGTTATGGTGTGATAACCAAGCTGCTCTTCATATTGCATCAAACCCGGTGTTCCATGAACGAACTAAGCACATAGAGATTGACTGTCATTTTGTACGTGAGAAGATACAACAAGGGTTAATCTCCACAGGATTTGTGAAGACAGGAGAACAACTTGGGGACTTATTCACGAAGGCCCTTACTGGAACCCGAGTCAGTTATTTGTGTAACAAGTTGGGCATGATCAATGTCTTTGCTCCAACTTGAGCGGGAGTGTTATAGAATATTCTGTGTGATTGAGTATCCTATATTTTAGGAAACTAGAATATTAGCATACCATATCAGTCTAGATCAAGCTAGTATTTAAGGGGAGGTTGACTAACCCTAAAGATAGACAGAAAGAGGAAGAACTCTCAAGAGGTATTCTTTTTCTCTCCCAGTACTCTAACAATTATTTACTAAGACTGTGTGATCTAATGGTACTCGGGTTGGACTTTCACTTGGAAGGTTGTGAGTTTAAGCCTCAATGAAGGTGTTATTGGTTCTTTATGTTTCAATAGGCTGAGAAAGTATATGAACATATACTACATTGTAATAGAGCCAGTAGCAATAAAAAATATTATTGATTATATTAAACAATAGTTTTAGCTATTTCGCTAATTCAAACGGGTAAAATCAAACAAATTCATTAAAAATTAGTAAATATGTCATTTTCCAAACACCACATTTATTTATATTTTTTTATTATTATTTGTGTTGTTACTTGTCAATCTACTTTTATTATTATTATTATTATTATTATTATTATTATTATTATTAAGTAAAGGGAATCAATTCATTAAATCAGAAACAATAATGGAAACAAAAAACGCAGGGGCTCGGCAAACCGATGCAAAACTCGAGACCTGATACATAACCAATTTCTTTAGCTAATACATGAATAGCTTGATTCGCGAATCTCTTAACAGACATGAAGCATAAATGAGCAAATGGCATATTAGCTTATTTTAATATCAGAAATAATTAAACCTAACGAGGAATAAAAGTCATCCGACTGAATAGTATTGCACACTTAGAGAGCATCCATTTCTACGTCCACATTATTATTATTATTATTATTTTGAAAACAACCAAACCAAATATATTAATTAGAACTAGAACTGTTACATAGAAGCGTACTCACATAACAAGGGGGATAAAATCTAAAAACATAATAAGTGTGAATGAAAGTTATATCCCTGATTTATGTCCGTTTTTTCCGTTAAGTTTTTTGTACATTATGCTATAAAGGTTGTACATTAAAATATTTTGGACAAACATACCCCTACCGTTATAACTTCCGTTATCTTTTCCACTATTGTTACCATGCACATGCATCCATCATATATTTTCTTATCTTCTTCATTAATAATAATATATACACATTATATATTTGAGTTATATGTTAATTATTACATAAAATATAAATATCAAATTTATAAAAATGATTTACATTATTATTATTATTTAGAATAATTTAAATATCTAAAATCTAAATATATTTAAAATTTTAATATAATGTATTAATATTGGGCACTTATTTTTTACGCATCGCGCATAAAAAATACTAGTAAAATAAAAATAAAAAAAAAAAAACTCAATTCTATTATCTCCTATATAACTAAGAGCTCTTTTGGCTAAACAATGAGCCATCATATTTTTACTACGATGCACGTAGCAAAACGTAACCATAGACATTTGACGCAGCAAGTCACGGATATCTACGTCCACATTATTAATAACTTATTTTTTGCTTTTTGTGTTGTGGTCTTTTTCAATGACAATTGAAAGTATGGAGTATCAATCCAAATACATTTCAGGCAAGTGGCAATCCAAATACATTATTACATTTCAGGCAAGTGGGCGCACCGCCATTGACTAGACTATGAACATACAATTAAGTCAATAATATTATGTATTATGCAGACATTTTTGAATGTCCGTCTTTAGAACATCCTTAGGCTCTATTTGGCAAACTTAGCTGAAAAGTTATAAGTTAGGAGCTGAAAGCTGAAAAAGAACTGAAAGCTGAAAAGCTACAAGTCCAGAGCTGAAAACTGAAGAGCTGTTAAGCTAGCTGTTATGATTGAAAGTGTTTGATAAAATTAGCTTTTTGATAAGCTGATAAATGTAAAAAGACTAAAAAAGACATCTTCATAAAATTTAAATTAGTTTGTTTATATATTAAAATTTAACATTTTATCTTTAAAAAAAATTAACATTTTGAAATAAAATTATTAGCATAATCATGATCTAGCATCTCATAATGAAGTAGTAATATTGTTGCAAACCTAATAATAATAATAATAATAATAATAATAATAATAATAATAATAATAATAATAATAATAATAATAATAATAATAATAATAATAATAATATTTGCGGTGAAAGTTACAAATAATGGAGAAGAGAAAAGAGTTTTAATTGGGAAGGGTAATTTATGTCGTTTCTTTAAAATAATAAAGATAAATATGAAAAAAAAAAGTTAGGAAGCTTGGAGCTTATTTTGGGAACATTACCAAACAGAGCTTATAGCTTATTAGTAGCTTAAAATAAGCTATAAACTCCTAAATAAGCTCTGCCAAACAGAGTCTTAATAGTTGATCTCCGTTGCGATTTTTGTCAAATTTTTGTAAGTGTGATTAGGAAAGAGATAAAAATGTGGGTGAAAAAAGAAAATGAAAAAATTAAATAAATTCTGACATATTATTAAAAAAAAAAAAGAGTAAAAAGTGTTTCAAAAGTCAGAGTGGCCGCCAACTACGCGCCCGCTGTAGGCGCAAGGTGCGCGCCAAGTGTCTTTAATTTGTTATTATTATTATTTTTTTAATTTTTAATTCTGACATTTATAAAATATCAAAGGGAAAAGAACACAAAAGTGAATGACAAACCAGATAAGGAAAGTAAATGTTAACACTTGAAAATCATTTTTAACTCTAAAAAAACAATTGAAATCTTAATTATAATATAGTCATATGGTTTGGTGAGCAATTATTGTTACAATTATTTTTTTAAATGGTGATGATGATTAATAGTCATTTATATTTATAAATAATTGTTTGGTCTTTAAAGGTCAATTGTATGTTACTACATCTAGAGTTAGAAATCTCAAAGGTCTAAAAAATTTGATCAGTGGTGACTTTAAAATTGTAATTCAATTACTATTGTAGTTTACTAAGTTCTTAAACATTTGTAATATTAAATACTATGTACTAAAATTTTAATATAGTTTAAGATTTGTAATAATCACCCACCTTAAATATTATTTTAATTGTAAATATATTTATGTTCATAATTTTATCATAGGAATTCACACATAATAATTATTAAATAACAAAAATTTTATATATGAACAAGGTTGCAGTAGGCGCTAGGCGCTAGTCGGGCGGCCGGGCAGCGCCTAGCGCCTAGGCGGATTCTAGGCGGCGCTAGGCGGGCACCAAAAAAATTTTAAAAAATAGTGACAGACTTGTAGTTCGACAATTTTAATGAGGTTGTTTTCAACGTTCACTCAAATAACACATCTAAATAAATGAAATAATGATAGTTTATAAGTCATAACGTCATAATAATATTAAAATCAATAATTAATGAAAGACGACATTGGTAAAAATCGAACAAAATCGGTCAAAAACGGTCAAAAACGATCAAAATCGAACAAAATCGGTCGACTCGGCCGAGTTTGGCCGCCGAGGCCGCCTAGGCGGCCGGCCGAGTTTTGGCTGCCGGCCAAAACTCTAAGGCTCGGTGCCGCCTAGCGGCTAGGCGGCTAGGCGGCCGAGTTTTGCAACCTTGTATATGAATAAACCTCATATAGGGTATATTTTTATAACATATTTTTCGTGCATCGCACGGGACAAATACTAGGCGATGCACTTGAAAGGAGACAAAATATATGAATTCTAGTCGTATTTTGATAGCTATATATATATATATATATATATATATATATTATATAGAATTACATTCAGGTGAAAACACATCTTAAAATACAAACCTGTGGACAATTTAGGGACGTTGGATTATGAGATTGGAGGGGTCTGATTGCTCCGCGTGGACATTTGGTTTTTACGGTAAGTTTGCTTGGTTTTTATTTTAAGTGGGTTATTTGTGGTATTTTGCCATAAGTTTGTAACCTAGTCAAAATAGTCTAGAGACTTCCACGCGCATCACACTTCATTATCGTCTGTCCGCTTCTCGCTCTCCATCCGTGCATTGTAGACACTGCCGATTGTCGCGTTGATTTCGCTGATTCGTCTATCGGTATTCACTTCCACGTAGCCATGGTAGTTGGTGGGGACCGCGGCGCAACTAAGAGGCGGGGACCACCGGTGGGAGCTGACGGCCGAGGTATGTGTTCCTTTTGCGTTTTCTGGTTTTTTTTTTTTTTTTTGGTTTGTTTATTATGTTTTTTGTTGTTTTGTTCTTCTTTTGTTGGGGGTTTGTTTGTTTGTAGGCATGGCAGGGGTTTTGTGGGTGGTGGATTGGTGTGTTCGCCGGATTTTAACCGGAATTGGGGATCTAGGGTTTTTTATTTTTGGGGATTTGTTGCATGGTTTATAGGTTTAGTTATCTGTGTTTTGATTTTTTTTTTTTTTTTTTTGTATTTGATTATTTCCCTACGTCTGTTTTCTCCATCCTTATCTAGTGTTTTTTTTTTTATTTATTTATATGGTGCATTGAAGTAATTCATTGGTATGGGTGTAAATATTGTTCTTAGATGATGTTAGTCCTTTTTTCTTTGGTTTTTCTGATGCCGAGGCAACCGTATTCCTGTTGTGGAATTTTAGAGTATGTGTTTGTTGTTTTTTTTTTTTTTTTTTTTTTCCCCAGTATGTAAATGGGTGTTCTTTTCTTTCGTTGTTTATTTGCTATTTCCATTTCCAGTTTTAGAGTAGAGTGTAAGCAGTAGGAGAGTTGTTGTTCTTGCATTCTCTGTTTTTTTTTTTTTGAAGAAACTAAAATCCCATGTTTTTAGTTTTGGATTATATTGGTATATATTGATCTGTATGGTTTAGCTAAGAAATTAGAAGCAAAAACACTATACACCCCCTCAACAATGGCCAGCAAAATGTACAAAACCTTCTTATGCAACAGCACAACAGAGTGGGCATCTGTGATCATCACTGGGAATTGGCACTTACCATCAGATGGATCCTCATCTGTCACCACAGCCAACCCGGAAAATCGCAATCCCACGCGTTCTACCCGATGAATAGATGGTGGGGCTATTCATCCCTTGTAGAGAACCATTGTTCAGTAAGTTTTTCAATGTGGTAACTCTCTACTGTTGGATGAGAGCTGTACATATGTTTGATACCCTCGCTTCTTTTTCATATTGGAAATGTATTGTTGGGTTCTACTACTTTTTCATTTTTTTATGCAGCCAATTAGCTATCTTCAATTTAAAAGTTAGCATCAACTTAAAACTCTCAGCCCACCTCACTTACCTTAGCAATGATTGCACGAGGCCATTTTTCATATTTGCTTTCAATGTGAAGCAGCACCACTTTGTTGTGTTTTTTTGCCACAAAATATTCAGCTCCGGACATTTGTCATATTGTTATATTGTTTAATCTCTTTCTCAGCTCTTGGAAACCATTATAAGAATATATATTTGATTTATATATGCGCATGCACTGCAAATAGTGTTGTAACTGCTGATCTGAGGGTGAATGTGTTTCAATTCTGGATATATGGGTTCCACAAATTGAAAGAAAATATATAAAAACTACTGCTACTTTTTGAGCTACGTACTCATCATTGATTCTGCCAGACTATGTTCACAAATAATGAAAAAATGCCAAACTATATGCACAATGAAATGGGGACCTATGATTCTGGCAGATGGAATAAGATGTTTGAGTAAAAATGTGAAACATATGGTTTGATTTTTGAGCACTGTATTTTTTATTTTATTTTAAGTGTGGTAGTTGAATCTTACAACCAATGCAAATCCACCTTTTCCCCTTCCTAGCTTGGTTACCATTCTATCTATCTTCCGCAAGTGCGTGCAGTGCGAGGACCACAGGCTCACTGATGATGGTGAGACCAACCAACTGAAATGTTCTCTCTCCAGTATTATTTCAGTACCCGGCCGGCCGGCCAGAATATTGTGATAGATTCATGCCCATTGAAATAAAAGTAGAGGGAGCTGAGCTGAGCTAGGAAGCTAAGAAGGCTTAGTTAATAAACACGTGTGTGCACAGTTGCATTGAATTCTGTGCATGGATACAAACTAGATATATTTCACAAAAGAGACTAATTCAAAAATCTCTTATACGCTTAGTTTTTAATATGTGTGTGCATAACTAAAAAAATTCCAACCATGGATTAAAACTAAATAAATTTCACATAAGTGAGTAGGTCACTATTAGCTTATAGGCTTCGTAATTACAAACTTGTGTGCACAACTGACTATTGAACTATTAACTTGTAGGTTTAGTTAATAAACACGTGTGTGAACAGTTGCGTTGAATTATGTGCATGGATACTGAATAGGTAAATTTCATAAAAGAGACTAATTCAAAAATCTCTTATACGCTTAGTTTTTAAATACATGAGTGCACATTGGGTTTAATTATGTGCGTGCACAACTAAAAAATTCCAACCATGGGTTAAAACTAAATAAATTCCACATAAGTGAGTAGTTTACTATTAGCTTATAGGCTTCGTAATTACAAACATGTGTGCACAATGGCGTTATATAGTGTCCAAAGCTCTACTAAATAATTACCAACCATGGGTAGAGTTTAAAACAGACTAGTTCAATATTATCGTATACGCTTAATTTTTAAATACGTGGGTGCACATTTGTGTTAAATAATGTGCATAGCTCAACAAACTAAATAAATTATGTGTGTGCACAACTAAATAAATAAATTTAACAATACTGAGTAGTTCACTATTGGCTTATAGGCTTAGTAATAAAAAACGTGGGTGCACAATGGCGTAAAACAGTGTGCATGGCGCAACAAACTAACTTCCAACGATCGGTAAAATTCAAAAGTTTGACGAGTATTTAATTCAACTTCAAATGAAGTTAGTATTCGTATTGCTTTAAACCATAAGGGACTATTCGTCTGATAGGTCTATTTTGTCTGAACAATTCTGGCTGTCGTGGCCTGGCCTGAACATAACGCACCTCTTATTATTGTCCACTCCCGTAAATGGTATAGAGACAAGTCTGTATCTGCAGAGTCAATATTGTTTGGTTATTAGTGTACACATAAAATAGTAATAAAAGTCAAATTTTTTGTCCCACCGCGCTTATCAGTAAAAATTCAAAAAACTAAGGGATTCATCCATGCACATAAAATTACTTAGGTGTGCACCCAACAACGAAAGACTAAATAAGACCGCAATCATCAAAAGTAAGGCTCAATAACTCATATATATGCGTCCAGTATTACCTGCAGTGTCATCATTTTTTTTTAGAGTTAATAGTGCACACATATCTGGTACGTATAACACAAACGTATATAATTAAGAACAGACTGTGTGACTATGTGCGTATTGTATATTGCGGTCAACTGTGCACACTTACAGTATAAAGCATGCACACATGTTACTACTATTTTAAATCTGCCCAGTTCTCCGATGCGCACACGATAATCTAAACTCGTGCACACACGCGGAATCTAAACAGACCAATAATTCAACCATTCAAAATAATAATTTTACCGTGGGTTGTAGGTCTGTTTTGCTTTGGTCTACTCCTACTATAATTACTATTCTTTAATTTAGGTTACATATCAAAATAATAATTTTACTGTAATTAGACTACCATTCAATTGTCTTAATTGCCCTTTTATTCTTAATTAAGGATCCTACTATATATTTTTCTTCTTAAATCTCAACCATTAATCTAATCTAATCTTATGGCCCATATTTGTCCACTAGTTTGTATTTTAAGGGGGTTTGCATGTGAATGCAACCCTATATATATATATATATATATATATATATATATATATATATATATTCCTACTCAAAGAAAAGAAGACAAAATATGTAGAAAAGTAAAAGTTAGGCGATGTTTCATTTCTTTGTTGTCCAATATAGTTTGGAATTTTACTAAATCTACTTTCAAATTCTAATCTCACACTTTTACTCTCTAATATGACAACAACTTTAAGTTATTGTCATCATGTGAGTCCAAGAGAAATGTCTATCTCAAAAATTTAAAATGAGTAAAACTTAGATATATAACACCCACAAGAGAAATGTCTATCTCAAAAATTTTAAAATAAATAAAATTTAGAAATAGAACATTAGAACTTAGAGTCCACGTATTAATTTTCTATAAGTCGTTCCAAGAAGACCCGCAAGTGAATAGAAGACCAATTCTTTTGCGTAATTTGTCACAAACGATCCATATTCCTTGGAATTTATGATAAACTTTGTCAATTGATCCGGCAAGGAAAGCTGGTGGCGGCTGAAATTCTGTTTTTTTTTTTTTTTTTTTAATTTTAAATTATTTTTTATTGACAATTATAATCAATTTTGACTATATTATCTTGCATTTGTAAACTTAGAATTACCTATTTAAATACGCAAATTCAACATTCAATTATCTATGCATGAATAATTCCAATATAATCTTGCATTGATATACTTTAAAGTACTTATTTAAAAAAAAAAAAAACATTAAGCATTATCTTGTAAAAAACTAGTATATATATATATATATATATATATATATATATATATATATATATATATATAGTTGTTAATTGCAGTAGTCGTAGAGCATACAACAAAACTTATACATAATATACTGCTAAATCAATTATATATCTTGAATCCTCCAATTAAAGCTGATGATGAGGATTTGTGGTTGTTATCTTCAGTGGCTTCTGTTCCTTTTGATTATTATTCAATATTCAAATGGCTGCTTTGAGAATGAGAGTAAAGCTCTTCTAAGCTTCAAACACAGCATTACTTTTGACTCATTCGGCTCTCTTTCCTCATGGGGAGATGATGATGACTGCTGCAAATGGAAAGGAATTGGCTGCGATAACAGAACAGGCCATGTTGTTGCTCTTCATTTGGGGAGTCAAGACTTACAAGGTGAAATCAGCCCTTCCTTGCTTCATTTACCGTTTCTCACTTTCTTGGATCTTAGTTTCAATGAATTTGAAACAATTCCGAATTTCATTGGCTCTCTCAACAACTTGGTCTATCTTAATCTTTCTTATAATTATCTGTTTGGAAATGTTCCTCCTCATCTGGGAAATATTTCCACTTTGAAATATCTTGACCTTGGCAACTACAATTTTCATGAACTAAAAGTAGTCGACACCTTGGAATGGATTTCTCATCTTTCTTCTTTGGAGTATCTCAAAATGGATGGGGTAGACCTTCATTCTGTTTCAGATTGGCTTCACTCAATTTCAAACCTTTCTTTGCTCACAACACTAAGCCTATATTCCTGCTACCTTCCAACTCCCCCAACTTTTCCCCTACTGAATTTGAGGCATCTTAACAAGTTGAAAATTCTCGATTTATCCTCCAACTCTTTGTCTTTCAACTTTTCACAACTCATTTTAGGTTCGGAGAAATTGATAGAGATTTTGAGATTGAGTGATAACAAAATTGTGGGATCACTGGATGATACCAGAGAGTTTAATTCCCTAAGAGAATTAAACTTGGAGAATAATCAACTTTCTGGTTCACTGCCTGACATGTCAAAAATGTTGTCCTTAGAAATTTTTGCAATTGGCAATAATCACTTCCATGGAAACTTAATGGGAAGTAACATCGGCCGCCTCTCTAATCTCAAATTTCTAGATGTTTCTTCAAATTCTTTGGATGGAGCCATATCTGAAATCAGCTTCTCTAATTTTAGCAAATTGGATGTGCTCATCTTGTCTGATAACTCTTTGACACTGAATTTAGGAACCCACTGGATTCCCCCATTTCAGTTAAGAGGTCTAGGCCTCAGATCTTGTGAGTTGGGCCCCAAATTTCCTTATTGGCTCCACACACAGACAGAACTTGATACTCTTGATATCTCAAATAATGGGATTTCAGATCTCATTCCTCAATGGCTCACCAACCTATCCGAGTTAGGGCATTTGAGTGCTTCTCAAAACAGAATTTATGGAAAATTACCAAACATTCAATCAACTGTGGATCTAGTAGACTTTAGCAGCAATTTGCTAGAAGGTCATATACCAAAAAATTATTCGGCAGTATCAGTACTGAACCTTTCCAAAAACAAGCTTTCTGGAACCATTTCAGTTCTGTGTACAAATAATTCTTTTCTACTTGACCTTTCAAACAATTTTTTTACGGAGAAGTTTCCTGAATGTTTGGCGAAAGTTAATGATTTGGTTAGTTTAAACTTGGCAAATAATAACTTCTTTGGTGAAATCCCCTTATCCATAGGACACTTGAATAGTATGCAATCACTACATTTGAGAAACAATAAGTTTTATGGGGAAATTCCTGAGTCTCTAAAAAATTGCACTTCATTGTTTGTTTTGGATCTTGGAAATAATTATTTAACTGGGGGTATTCCTGCATCGATCGGGGAAAGCTTAAAATTCTTGAAGATCCTTATCCTGAATTCAAATGAACTAAAAGGATCAATCCCAACTAACATATGCCAACTTCAATCCATTCAAATAATGGATTTGTCTTCAAACCATTTATCTGGTTCCATTCCAACTTGCTTCAATTCATTAATGACTGACTATGATGAATGGATGCCAACCGTGGAGACTTCTGGAGCTTCTCATGAACCCTATGGGATTAAAGACTCCCTCGACGAATCTTTCTTTGATTATGAATGGCTTATATGGAAGGGTACAGAGGTGGAGTATGGTAAGAATCTCAAATTCATGAAGCTCATAGATCTCTCAAGCAATAAATTGGTTGGAGAAATCCCAGTTGAGATAACTGATTTGCATATCCTTAATTCACTAAACTTGTCAAGAAACAATCTCACTGGATCCATCCCAAACAAGATTGGTGAGATGAGGTCGCTAGAGAATCTCGACCTCTCAAACAATCAACTTTCTGGAGCAATACCAATGAGCTTTGCTAGTTTATCATTTCTTGCTCACTTGGACTTGTCGAACAACAATTTGTCTGGTTGTATTCCACTCGGCACTCAGTTGCAAGGATTCACAGAGGCTTATCAGGGAAATTCAAAGCTACGAGGGCCTCCACTTCCAACAAACTGTCATAGAGATGAACCTGGAAATGCTCCACAACAAGGGGGAATTGATGAAATTGAAGAAGATGAAGGATGGATTATTTGGGACTTTGACTTCTTTGTGAGTTTGATACTTGGATTCATTCTTGGTTTTTGGGGAGTATGCGGAACCTTAATACTCAAGCGTTCTTGGAGACATGCATACTTCCAATTTTTAGAAGACAAAAAAGAGAAGTTTTGCACTGCCATTGTAATCTATGGAGCCAAATTGAAGAGAGGCATGGGAGTTAGCTAGATTGAAGTAAAAGGTAATATATTTAAGATAAATTCTAAAATTTTCATTTGAAATTACAATATATTTTTGTTTAGCAATAAAGATTAATAAGTAAATGGTAATGCATTAAAACAGGATCAACTCATCTCCTTGAGCTGAAGGAAGTACGAAGGCCATTGAAGTACCTCCGATCCATGTCATTCTAAATAAAGTTCAATTATGTGTATTTGTATTCATATTTCAAGTCATGTAATTCTATTTTGTTCTGTATTGTGTATATTGAGGTTCTAATATATATCATCATACCATAGCCTACCTTGTAAGGTGGACTATTGAAATAAAGTTCATTTAAATATATCGAAGTTTCATTTTTAATATATTTAATATTACTTTTTGTTGTGCGAAAATTAAAGTTGTTTTTTTAAGTATACTACCAAAGAATGAATATTTAATAAATTAAAAATTAACTTTCAGTATATTAAAAATGAATTTAATGTAAGTGGTCCACCTTGTATCATGGTCCTTAGTATAATTTTCCGAGTTTCTATAATAAATATCTTTTCTTAAAAATTCATGTTGTTTCCAACAACATTGGAATAAAACTACTATCCTATACGCTATTTTACCATGCAACGATTTCAATCAGCAGAAATAACATCACAAAATATGGCTAAAATAATTATATTTGGTAGAAAAAATATGTAATTAGATTTTGATGAGTCAAAGTCTATTTTAGGGCTAGATTTTAAATCCCCAAAACTTTAAATTTAGTTAGACATTCAATTTTTGTTCGCAACAAAATCGCTATGTAATGGAATTAGAGGTAGTTTATCACAACAAGACTATAGTGTTGATATTAAAGTAAAGTCACCAACATCAAACCAGCACCGAGCTGAGCTAGCTGCCAGTTTGGCCACACCTAAGTACTGGAATAACGTTTATCCTTTCCCATGTTTAAGGCAAGTTAAAAACTTTCGCAGCAAATACTTTGAGCATTTTCAAAAAAGTTTAAATTACTAAAAGTCTACACATACAAATGAAGCCTAAAAAACTTAAACCCAATTACTCTAGAAAAGTATAATTTTAAATCATACAAATTTAATACAAACCCATGATACAGAACCAGCCCAAAAATAAAACACTTGCTTGCAAACCAGCACATTGCCCCAGCTTCCACACCCAGCTGGAACGTTATGTTGTGCACGTAGGGGTGGAAATAGGCCAGGCCGAGCTAGGCTTTTTAAAATTAGGCCTGGGCCTGTTAGGAAAACTTAAAGCCTGGGCCTGGGCCTAGGCCTGTATGTAGGCTTTTTTTTAGGCTCAAGCCTGAGCCTACAGTAGGCCTGGCCTGGCCTGAAGCCTTTTTAAAAGCCTATTTAGTAAAAAGGCTTTTAAAAAGGCTTCAAAATAGGTTCTAAATAGGCTTTTAGTCTATTTAAATAGGCTCAAAGCCTATTTAAAGCCTACATTTTAAAGCCTTTTAAATATTATATATATATGAATATACCTATAAAAAATAATTATATTATTAAGTTACAATCAAGTGAATCAACCAATATTCATAAATGACAAAACTAAGTTCATATTTTATAATAAAATGTCAAACAACACCTACAAGTTTAATAAGTACGAGTTCATAATACAAAAACCATACAAGTTTGATAACATCAAGTCTACATGTCCATAATACAAAAGTCCATCACAAATTCACAACTCACAAGTTTAACAACAACAGAAATCATAAGTTCACAATACAAACATGAAACATTAAACATAATAACAACAATAGCATTCAAACATAAAATGAAACAAGTCATGGCTTCAACATAATCTCCTGTTGTCCAGAATCTCCCTACACAATGAAAAAAATTGAGAATAAATAATGAAGTCAATTACAAGTTCAAGTTCTCATAATTAAAGTAACAAGCAGTAATATAAAATAATATAAAATATTAAAGTAACAAGTACATTCTTACCTTTTGTTTTTTCTTCAGCCCGTACTTGTTACGAAGCCAATCCCCACCACAAATAAGAGCTTCAATAGATTCCTCATTTAAGCTAGCACGATATTCATCAATGACTCTTCCCCCGGCACTAAATGTGGATTCAGATGCCACACTTGAAATAGGAACAGCTAGTATATCAGAAGCCATCTTTGATAAAACTTTAAACTTTGGACTATTATTTTTCCACCACGCCAAGGCACAAAAGGATGAAGTAGAAGAAGGAATAAAAAGATTTTCCTCAAGATAAGTCTCCAACTCTGATTTCGTAAGAGGAATTGATTGACTTTGGTAGACCATACTCAATAATTCTTGCATCCCTTTATCCATTTGTTGTCCACCATCAACCAGAGTGCTGCTTTCAACATTGACTTCACTATGTCCACTAGTAGAAGAAGCATCTTGACTATACAAGTTCACATAATCAAGATATAAATCTTCTAATGCCCTTTTCACCTTCTCCACATTCTTTTCAACATCACTTGGTGTTTTATACAATAAGGGAAAAGTTATCTTAATACCATTTAATTTCATCCTTGGATCTAAAACACATGCAATAGACATTAACAAATTACACTCCCCCCAATATTTGTCAAATTTTGCTTTCATAGGTTTTGTCATCTCACGCATGAACATGTCAAAACACTCAGCTGCATTATCAATAACCTTTTTCACCCTTTGAATTTCAGCAAGATACAAGTTAGAAGTAGGGTAATCACTACCTGAGATGACATGAGTTGCATCATTAAAAACCTCCAAAAGTTTACAAACCTTCTCAATCTTGTCCCAATCCTCAAATGATGGTGCATACTTATAATGGGGCTCTTTTTCATTGTAATCTGAAAATGCATGCTTAAATTTACTTGCAGTACACAACATCAAGAATGTGGAGTTCCATCTTGTTGGACAATCAAGAATAAGTTTCCTTTCTTTCAATCCTTTTAATTCAACAACTTCATGGAATGACTTTAGCCTTGCATCTGAAGAATTTATAAATTTCACACTTTCACGAACATTATGAATGACATCTTTAATAGTGTTAAGGCCATCTTGCACCAACAAATTCAGAATGTGAGCACAACATCTAACATGAAAAAGTTGACCATCAAGTACTAACTTACTGCTCAATGACATGTTTTCTTTCAAACTTCTAACACAAGAGTCATTGTAAGATGCATTGTCAACAGTTACTGAGAATATTTTATTCTCAATGCCCCATCCTCTCAAACACTTGAAAATAGCATTTGCTATATCTGTTCCTCGTCGAGGAGGAGGCACTTTGACAAAATTCAAAACTCTCTTCTGAAGGTTCCAACTTGCATCAACAAAATGACCTGTCACAACCATGTACTCAACTACTTGGTGACTTGACTTCCACATGTCTGTTGTAATGCTAACCTTACTCACATTATTCAAAATCCTTTTCAAAGTATTCTTTTCAGCTTCATACAATTGCAAAAAATCACTTCTTGTTGTTTTACGACTGACTCTTCTAAAATTTGGATTTGCATATTCAAAAGCCCACATGAACATGTCATCCTCTACGATGCTAAATGGTCGCTCATGCACCATAATTCCACTAGCAATAATCTCTCTCATCTTTTCATTGGAGTATTTAGCATTAGGAACAATAAAGGGATTACCACCACATTCACTAGGCGGCCGAAATTGTATCGTTGTTTGTTTATTTTCTCGAGAGATATGCAACTTCCGTTGCAGGCAAATCTCTGAGTGCCTCTTAAGATGGCTAGTGCTTGCACCCTTTCCACCAGTAGAGTATTTTTCCTTACAATACAAACACACTGCTTTCTTTGTACCATTAGCAAGTTCAATTTCTTCAAAATCATTCCATACCGGAGATGTTTTTTTCCGCTTTTTTGTTAAGATTGAATCATTATCAACCATATTGACTTCTTCAGAATTGTTACTTTCAATTGGTTGACTTGAAGAAATTGATGGAGTTGTAGTTGTAACTTGCACATTCACTTCTTCAGGAATAGATTCATTTGTATTGTTACTTGTCATCCTATATAATTTTATAATTATTCAGCCATTAAAACACATAAACAAAGTAACATCTAAGTATCTAATATTAATTATTATAAACAACTAAACTATAAACTTTATAGTAATAAACTAATTATAGTAAAAAAAAAAACTAATTATGTTTAGTTGTTTATAATAATTAATATTATAACTAATCAATTTATTAGTCTGCTTAACTAATCAATAAACTGAGTAATAATTGTTTATAGTAATAAACTAATTAAATTGCTCATTGCAGACTTGCAGTTCCTTATTAGTGTATAACTAATCAATTTATTAGTGCATAAGTGCATAACATTATTTATTTAGTTATTTATTTATTTAGTTATTTGAACTAAATAATAACTACTGTCAATTACTTTGTTGACCATATACAATCACTGTGTCCTTTAATTAGCAGATTCATTACTTGATCTTTGCTTTCAATAGGTTTATTACGTGTATGGGTTCATGCTATTGGTTTTTATTATTCTGATAATTGTCAGAGTGTGTGTGATAAATTGATAATCGTGGCCACATATTTCTGCTTAAACAACACTCAGGCCTGTGTATATTAAATAACAGTCAAGGCAGTATGCATATTACTTCAATAAACAGGTGATGAAACGCATGTCTGAGTGTCTACTTCAATAAACAATTAAACAAACAAACGTATATTTAATAAAACTAACCTCCGATCGCCGGTCGCCGGTCGCCACCAAGCAGATAGCAGAAAAGCAATCTGAGTCGTCCAACTGCGGTCGCCGCTTGTCCAACTCCGGTCGCCACCTCGCCACGTCGCCTCACCGCCCGCAGCCTCGCCGGAGTCGCGTTAGTCGATTCGAAGATTTCGATTTTTGGGGAAGAAACGAGTACAGGACAGTTTGTGTCCACAAAGCCACAAACGCAGACAGTCCTAGGGTTATCAGATATTGACTTTATACTTATATATATATATACTGGGTTATATTGTAATTATTACAAAATATTAGTTATAAAATATAATATAAAATAATTAATATTAAATATATATTTTATATATATTATATACATAAACAGGCCAGGCCTGCAGGCTCGTAGGCCAGGCTTTCACATATAAGCCTAAGCCTATTTAACTAAATAGGCTATTAACTAGGCCTAAGCCTGGCCTTTTAACTAAACAGGCCAGGCCAGGCCAGGCCCTAAACAGGCCAGGCCATAGGCCCCTGGTAGGGGCCTGGCCTATTCCCACCCCTAGCCACCATAGAAATAAATTGTTTGTCATCAATATTTTGGAGCAGTAATTCAAGCCACACACCAAAGTCATCATCCACCGTACTCTGCACAATAAATCCCGAAATATTCCAC